GTCATTTCTCGACCCGCTCTTTCATTTGAGCCCAAAAAAACATTCATATCTTGTCTGACATCGCTGCTACAAACTCGGGCCTTCAAGTGAAAACCCGAGTTCAAAACTCAAATCCAGTACAGTGGAATCTCCATAACTGCACGCCTCCCGGGGTTTGGGTTCTCGGAATTTGCATTTATGAAAGGACCCTTCTTCGCCAGCGAAAGAGCGAGAGCGCTGAGTTAGAAAGAGATGCGATTCACGGATAATTGCACACGGCGAAGTACCGGATAAACAGAATACTATTGCGCACAGTCCTCGCGCATTGTAGATAGAGAGCTGAAGAGGTAGAGAGAGAGAGAGAGAGAACAGGCATAAAGGGGAATTGTAATGGTGGGGGACCACTTCCCCTCGTGTGGTGGGACAGCGTGCACTTACGGAGGTGAGCAGTTACGGAGGTCTCACTGTACTCATAATTTTTTCCAGAAATTCATTCAAGATTACAAATGAATATCCAACCGTTGGAGCACAAGAAACCACACAGAAAAATCTGAAGGTAAAATACGTTTTTGAAATGGCAATTCACGTTTTCAAAAACGTAATTTACGATTTTCTCAAACGGGTAAATTACGCTTTTGAGATCGTAAATTACGGTCAGAATAACGTGAATTACGATTTCAAGAACGTGAATTACGATTCTCAAAATTGGAAATCAATTCGGTTCGAAAAGCACCCACAAAAATCACAATCTACTGATTTTTTCCTACAAAATATCTTCTCCTAAATACTTCTATTGACAAAAATGCGCAAGAAAGCTCATTTTATCCGTCGATAATATTCGCTTTTCTCAATGAAGTAATCAATTGAAAGTACTGAAATTAAGTCATAAAAGTACTTGAGAGAAGTTCAAAAATTACTTTTCACCAGTATCTTTGGTACTTGTGACAAGTACTAAAAGTACTGGCCGAAAGTGGTGAAGCTACTTCCTCCCAGTACTATTTCTACTTGATCGGTAGAGGTGGTACTTCACTCAAGGCTACAAAAAGTACTTGGGGCAAGTATTTTTCGAACTTTTCACAAGTGAACTTCCCCAAGGTACTGGTCGATACAGCTGAGAAGTACATTTTTCTTTGGATGTAGGGACTAACTTTTGGTTCCGACTGCCTTCTGACATACCTTAAGAATTACTATGTTCCCACACTAAAAAATAATTTTATATTCTTTCCGTGTGAGGTATTCACCCACTGCAAGGTCGTCATCTAAACTTGGAAAATGATAATTGCCTTTAAAAAACTCTGTTATCTCCTCCTCTGCCGGTTGACTATTTTCAGTAGTAGACCAGTTTGATGAATAAAGTGGTAGTGGGATTATTTTGGAGGTAGGAAGTGTAACTGAATCTCAAACCGGGCGAGTCTCTGGCATACCTTTGGTCTTGTATACCTGGAGGAGCCATGAGCCTGGTTTGGGCCAACGCCAATGCGTGCCCCGTTGCACTCGCCTGGCTTTTTTTTATGCCCCCATCCCACATATCCTCTCACTCTTGTAATGATAGTTATAGTTATCTTGTACCCCCTCTGTCCCTCGCACTGTCCCTTTTCATAGACCAGATGATAATATTTTAGTTTCATTGGAGAATGGCTTGTTGACATTGTTTATGGAGTTACCCCACACTGCATTGACGTAGACATGTACAGAGTTTATGGAATTTGGTAGTGAAGTGGGAGTCGAGGTGATGATGCTAGTCGTGTCGATAAATTTTTCATTGGAAATTAGAGAAGTTGATTATTTATCTCAATGAAAATGTGTCAATTATATGAAATAAATGATTCATTAATTATAAATGAAGAATTGTTTCATGTTAATGAATAGGTTCTCGTAGCCTTTGAAAGCATTATTCCTGATGAAGGCTTCGTTTGCAATATTGAAACAATATTGGGTTATTTTTTAGATTTATTTATTTGATTTGAGTGAAGTTTGTTTAATTTAGATAGAGGAGTTCTCTGGGTGTTTGAAATTAGTTCTTGGGGAATGTCTTGGCAATTCTGAAGATATTTTCGGAAACGTGATTTTTAGGTGGAATTCATTTATTGTCTGTAAGTTTTTAAGTCCGAAGGAGATGGATACATTTTCAAGTCAATAATTTTTGTTGAAAGAAAAGAGCGATAGACGTATTGATATATTTACTGAAGAGAAAGATCTTGAAAATTTACAATATTTTTGAGAGATTTCCTCTAGAATATTGGATTTTTTACTAGACTACTGAAATTATTTTCAAAAATGTCATATGAATAGAGAAAAATATAAAAATTTTTTATCCCACAATATTTTTCAAACAATAATTTTTAGGTGAAATTGACTTATTGTCAGCAAGTTTTTGGCAAATATCGTCGAATCTAAAGGAGATAGATAGATTTTCAGGAAAACATTCGTTGCAAAGAAAAGAGAACTACAAAAATGTTTTCAAAAAAATCTTAATATTTCTCACGAACAGTAAGATCCCAGCAATTTCCCTGAATTTGAATCATTACAATGCAATTTTTCCTTAAAATATTGCATTTTCAATTACAATTTGAAAATTAATCCTTCAATAAATTTACTAAAAAAGGTGACGTTTTTATGAAATTTTTTCTAAAAATATAATTTTTGAAGAATATCTTAGCAGTAGAAAAAATAGTAACATTTTTAATTCCAACCCATTTTAAAAAATGTGATTTAACATTAAAATTGATTTAGTACCCCTGAATTTTAGCAATTGCAATAAATCTAGTGAAAATGAAAATATTTTTAGAAATTTTTGCTTGAACAATTCCAATTTTCACTAGACTTATTTTCATGTTCTCATCGTGAGAACATTTTCTTCGTGAGAGTTACAATTTTTTCCTCGAATTCCTGCAGTTTTTCTGAGATATGATATGATTACAAAATCAATTTCGTTTTGGATAATTGTCTTACCATTGAATTCGTTCTTGTAAACACCTGTTTTGTACAGCAAAAAAAACTGCTCACGAAAAAAATGCCTACCACTAAAACCTACCTCCCGAAAATTCATGGTCCACACGCTGACTCATCTCGTTTAATCCCTTCACTGCCAAATTATTCAACTCATTCCACTCCGAATTATTTCATAATAAATAGTTTCTCTGCACGAATGAATTTAACCATTATTAAACTGGGGAATTTCTGCTCTTTTCGTCAGAGAGAAAAGCGATGAGCATCGCATAAATGCACAGACCTAGGACATCATGAGGGGAAGAACGCCGTTGGCGGATGACACCCCAAAGAGGGCTCCGCCTGTGCCCAGGAGAGGTGAGTTTAGTTCTCCCCTCGACCCCAAACCAAAATGCACAAATACAAAAGAACGTAATGACTCAAGCCTTAGAACAAACAGAATGGACATGAAAAACTGATATTAATCAAGTTGTCGGACACTTATTATCATATTCATACACGGATAGAAAAAATAATTTTTGCTGAGATGTTTCTCTTTTGGAAAAAGTATTATCTACTTGAACCCATTTCAAATAAATAAGATCTTACGGTGAATATCAATTATTTCTTCTTGAGCTACATTTACTTGAACCAAATAAAACAGTTCTTGGCGTCAGTTCTATTTTTTTAAACCTAATATAATCTCCAGTCGAGAAATTTTCTACTTTTATGAATTGATCAAAAATTCGTGCCTAGGAGATGATTACATTGAGGAATGAATTCAATGTTGTTTTCTCGAATGAAGCCCATCTTTAAGGTGTTTCGGTTGGAAATCCAGCTAACAATTTACAGGTAAATTTTCGGATATTTACCGGTCTTGCTGGGGACTTTTAGATGGCATCCGTAAAAATTGTTCCCTGGGAAGTCAAAATAATGAAAACAAATTGGAGAATTCATGGGAGAAATTTCTAAGTATGCTGCATCATTGAGAATTCTTGCACATTTTCTTCAGATCTCAGTTTCAAGAAGAAAAATAATGAAATTTGGATGGTTTTGTAACCCCTCCGGCTATAACCTCCGAGGTTACCCCACTCTCAATTAGGGGAATTTCCATGGCACCCAAAAAAATAATGAACTATTGAGGAAAAACTAGTGGGTGATAAATCAAATCTTTCTTGAGAACACGTATGTGTTTCAGATTTTTTTCAGATTTCATAAGAAAGTTATTTGAACAAATGATTCGGAAAATTATGAGTTTCGGGGCAATTACACCCTCACGCGCAGGCGCGTGATTCAAATGTCAGTGAGCATCATGGGAAAGATATGGGTTGGACCATGGAACTGAGAGAGAGGAAACACTTGGCAGGTTTACCAACTCGAGACGCATTTTAATATTATTTCAATAATTAGAAAAACATCCAATAAAAATTATTTGTCACCCGTAGATGATGAGAAAATAATCCATCAATCTGATAAATAAAATCAGTGTTCAAAAAATGTTCAAATGCACACTTAAATAGTTACTTGAAAATTGGAAAATTTCGTGCTCAGCGATTGAATCAGGGCTCGGGAACAACAAGACTCCCCTTCCGTTTCACCCCCCGGTGATCTACACACGAAACACCTTAAATTGAGCTTTCCGTACATGACATTGAACGAAATTTGCGCTATCCAAGTTTGTGTTAAATTGCCGTAATCTGTGATTCTGTTATTGTAAACTAATGCGATTGTTTTAATCTCAAAGCCTTTTCGATATATGAAATGTTCACTTGAATTATAATTTACTTGGAACACCGTATGATCGTGTTGATTGAGATAACAACGCATTTAGTCGTGAGAATAATTTTCATTTTTGAGTAAATCAATGAATTTCTGGAGTTGGCAAACTTTTGGTTGGAAAGAAATCAAATACTCTCATTTTTTTTCTCGTTGTTGCGACAAATGAAAGGAACTCCAATTCTAGAGAAGTTCAGTTTCCCCCAATCAAATGTAACTTAAGAAGAGATAATTGGTATTCACTATGAAATCATGTTTATTTGAAAATTAACAACCAAATGATAGTTGGTTGAAATCACATTCTCTTGATAGAAGTAATTTTTTCTGTCAGTGTACACTGTTAAAAATTTCCATTGAAATTTTCTAACTGGAGGGCGAAGCGCCCGTTCGCTAGTAATAAAAATAAATCGCTGTATATTAAATATTTGGAATAGGTGAAATAGCAATTTGAAAAATTTTGCCATCATTTCTCCCACAAAAAACATTTGAAAAACTTATTGAATAGAATTCCCAAATATCGAATGAAACGTGGAAGTATGAAGTGTTGTTTTTTCAATAGTATTTTTTTTTATCGTTATTTAACATCGCTTCGATTTATTTAACATCGCTTCGCACCGATTAGGGTATGCTGCGATGATGATCAAGACTTTAAATGATTAGATCTCACCATTCTACCCGGCCGGGTTTTGAACTCGAAACCTTTCGCACGTGAGGCAACGAACTTACCCACTGCGCCAAGCCACCGGACTTTTCAATAGTATTGATTCAGTACGAACATTTTCACTTGGCATTCTGGTAATAATTGAATTATAATGATCACTGGCAAACCAACCCAGCGAAAGACTATTCATCTATGAATTAATCCAATAAAAAAAACCAATCAATGAAATTTTGCATCCCTGTAGTCATAGCTTTAATCAAAGTCTAATTATTTTACTTGAAATGTTTGGAATAGTTAATAACAATTTGATCAACTGTGTTATTATTTATCCAGCAAGAAACACTGAAAAAATTATGAAACACCATTGCAAAATGAATGAAATGTCGAAGTTGGAAGTCCTTTTTTTAATAGTATTGATGCAGTACGAACATTTTTTATTGGCATTCTTTTCATAATTGAATTCCAATGATTACTGGAAAACCAGTCAAGCGAGAGACCCTGCATTTGTGAATTAATGCAGTAAAAACAAGTGGATAATTGCATTTTTTAATAAACGAGTATAATTACTGTTGCTAATAAATTAGCAATTTGCTTAGAAATTTCGCAACTTGATTGAATTTTCAGTGGAACCTGAATATTCAGCAACAAAATGACATAAATGTCCATTTTTCCCTGAATTTTTCTGATTTTTCTGAATTTTTCGCAAAATAATTGAATTGAACAATCAAGTATTATATTGATTTTCAGATCATTCGAACAGAAAATCAATCGAATATTTGATATCAATTTCAGTGGTAATTGAACACGATAATAATATCTAGGATTTGGCACGGAAAATTCAGACGATAATTTTAACAGTGTGTTAAAGCACGAACAATACTATTGATGTTTTCCGTTCACACGCGTAACTTTAATGCATTCAATAAATTTTATCTCAATGAGCCCCACAAGTACAATCGTGTTTAATACAATCTTCAGTCGAGTCATTTGCCCCAAATGAATGGGATTTTATTTCGTATTCATCGCTGATATCCCTATTACACTAGTTATTTACACATTTCTGTTGCTAATTTTCGTGTTACCATGCGACACTGGGCTTTCTCGTTACTCATTCTGCCTCTCTTTCCCTGTGGGGGCTATACTTCCTCCCTTTTTCCCCCTCTAGTAGACCCCTCCGCCATCTCTGTATCTCATGGGCGGTTTGGTCGATACACGTCACATACGCACACCAGTGCATGCTCCTGGAGCATTTCGAACGCTATTATTTTCCTTTCCCATACAACAAATCCGTGGGATTAAATATAAAAAAGGTGTCCGGCTCAATGTTTATGTAGCTTGAGAGAATCGTTTTAGGGGGAACCGATGAGAGGATTTTGTCGTTATCAGGGTTCGTTATACGGAGAAAAAAAGTTGGAGAGTAATTACCAAACATGTCGAGTAATTGTGGAGCAGAATCGATTTCTACACTGAGAGAAAAACGAAGATGCACTGTGAACAATTTTTGTTTACCCCTAGACTGCACTGATAGAATGATTCCTTTATTCCAAACGAGATTAACTATTAGCTGATGGTAGAGTTGAATATGACCAAATGAATATTCGTTAATAGTTAACGAATGGTTCACTTGAATGGCGAAAGTCAAGTCAAACAAGGCTCCTCAAATATACATTCGTTAACTATTAACGAATGAACATTTGGTGGGACCGAATAGACCCTAACCTCCAACCAAAATCCATTCGCTAACAATAACTAATCCGTTCTATCAGTGTGGTAACCATGCGAGGGCATTGCCGCAACACGTCGTTTTATTCACCTAGCCATCGACTGGTTGACCGGAAAATTTTTAGAAAAATTGAAATCGTCAATTGAAGTAGCTGGAAAATTCTAGTATTTTTTCTTCAATATTGTATCCTTAATTCTGAGAGAAAAGAAATTATTTCCAACAGGTGAACAATTTTTCCCGTGTCAAATGAAATTGCCTGTTGCGCGACGTTGCTGGGAACTCGCGAAACGCGCCCGGGAAGTGTAGAGTGGATTCGGCAACGCTGGAGTCTAAATAACACGGCGGCACTCTCCCGCGAAGATGACTAAAGTCGCATTTTCCCGTCAGATGACCAAACTAGGGTTAACATTTCCGGTACACATGTGGGAAATTTCGACACCCAAAAAGAAATTACTTTTGATCAGTAGAAAAAGGCTCATTTTTGTACTTCCTCGAAGTTACAAAACAACTTGATGCAAGTATCATGCGTCAAGTACCTGTGTACTGGTGAGAAGTACCTCAGTACTTGTCACAAGTATTCTGTTACTTGGGACAAGTAAAAAAATTACTTACTAAAATTAAGAACTCAAAAAGNATGACCAAACTAGGGTTAACATTTCCGGTACACATGTGGGAAATTTCGACACCCAAAAAGAAATTACTTTTGATCAGTAGAAAAAGGCTCATTTTTGTACTTCCTCGAAGTTACAAAACAACTTGATGCAAGTATCATGCGTCAAGTACCTGTGTACTGGTGAGAAGTACCTCAGTACTTGTCACAAGTATTCTGTTACTTGGGACAAGTAAAAAAATTACTTGTACTGCGTACCTAGCTGGTTCTTTTCAAAAGTACCAAATAAACTCAATATAAGTTGAGTATAAGAACTCAAAAAGGTTTTTCTACCTCTTCTAAAAACCGAATTTCGTAAAAAATTCAAAAATCCAACTAATTCCCTTTTTGTGAGTAATAAAGTTGAGAAGAAATTGAAAATAATTTTTCGAAGTCTTTTAAATGTTGATAAAACAACAATCATTCATTGTTCTAGTAATCAATTGGAAGTACTGAAATTAAGTCCTAAAAGTACTTGAGAGAAGTGGAAAAATTACTTTTCACTAGTACCAAAGGTACTAGTGAAAAGTACTAAAAGTACTGGCAGTAAGTAGTGATACTACTTCCTC